CCACAAGTACATAATGGCAACCATACCTACTCCTACCTGAGTGTTCATCATGCCCCAGGAGCTATGCAGCCCAACGCATGGTAGACCTACTCCCTCGTACTCCACTAGGAGATGGGTGTTCTTTTGCTTTACACACGAGGAAGCTAAGGCAGAGACACGTAATAAATGTGTATAAAGTAACAGAGAAGTAGGCATTCGATAAGAAATGGTACCAACTGGGGAAGAGGAACACAGCACTATAGCCAGAGGTGGAGGATGCCTTCCTGTGCTGACTCATCAAACGGAGTAGCAGTTTACCGCCTCTTCCACCTACAGACATACTACAGCTGTCCTTCTTGTTTTTGTGTGGGGTTTTTTTGTTTGTTTTTGTTGTTGTTAATCCTCACCTGAGGATATTTTTCCATTGATTTTTAGGGAGAGTGAAAGAAAGAGGGAAAGACAGAGAGAAACATGGATGTAAGAGAAACACATTGATTGGTTGCCTCCTGTATGCGCCCTGACCAGGGCCCAGGCCGGGGAGGAGCCTGCAACCAAGGTACATGCACTTGACCGTAATCGAACCCGGGACCCTTTGGTCTGCAGGCCGATGCTCTATCCACTGAGCCAAACTGGCTAGGGCCATCCTGCTTGTGTTCTTTGTGTCATTTGCATGGAGGAGAGACACCAGGACCTGCTGGGTCCTAAAGCACACACCTGGAATGCCAAGCTCAGCAGGCAAAATTCTTGTTTCTCTCTTTCTTGTTTTCAACACAAAGCCCTGACTTCTTCCACATTTTGTTTCTGGGATCCAACTGCTGGGACTAGATGCCATTTCCCCAGAAACTACAGGGGCCCGTTCACATAAAGACAAAAGTAGTCCCATTGAGTCTGTAGCCCAAAGCCCTGGGAATATAAAGAAATGAATCCCAGAGGCAATAGGTTGCCTCAGCTCTTGCAGCAGGGTGCCCCCTGCCCCCACTCCCTCTGGACCGCCCCCCTGGACACAGGCCTGCCCCTCACCTTTGACTGCATCCTCTCATTGCCTGTGATAAATTCTGCTGCGCCCCCTGATGCCCCGGGCAATGCCTTTTATGAGGCTGGTGGAGGCTCCTTCGCCAATACCAAAATGAGAAACACCTGCGATTGTAAAACAGCCTGAAGTTAGAGACAGGGATGAAAGGGGGACATGACAAAATCATGGTTAAAAAAAACACATAAAAATACACAAAGAGATAGTGTATTTCAGTGTATTTCCTTGACCAAAGGCATACCAGCGACCATTTATGGAGTGTATTCTATATTTTAGACCAAATGCCTTCAACGAATAATGTGACCTCATCATCCCAGGACAACTAAGAGGAAGGCCCATGTTTCCTTTTGCACGAGAAATGGAGGCCCCAAGGATGTTAGAACTCTGTCCGTGGTCGCACACCAACTAACTGGTAAAGATGGAATCTGAGAACTGCCCTGCTTGACTCCATGATCCCCTGGCAAGACACTACATATGATACTGATTCTAGGAGCAGAAAAAACAAAATAATAGGACCACATCCTCATCAATTGTGTCCATAATCCATCCAAAGAATGGGTTCATCAGAAAGTGAGATTTAGGAAAACACAGACACTCCCCTCAGTGTGAGGCTAACATTGTTCTGGAACCATATCTGTCCTGGCAAGGCTAGTCTTAGGATGGAAAACAGTGCGTCCTGCTCTTCTTCTTTTTAAAAAAAAATAGAATTTTATTGATTTTATTTTATTATTTTTTATTGTTGTTAGTCCTCACCAAAGGATACTTTCCCACTAATTTTTTTAAGAGAGAAGGTGGACAGCAGAGGGAGAGAGAGAAACATCGATGTGAGAGACACACTGATTGGTTGCCTCCCGCATGCGCCCTGACCAGGGCCAGGGATTGAGCCTGCCACCGAGGTACGTGCCCTTGAGCAGAATCGGACCCGGGAACCTTCAGTCCACAGGCCGGCGCTCTCTCCATTGAGCTAAACTGGCTAGGGCCCTCCTGCTCTTCTAACTGGAGAGTTCTCTCTTTGCCTTGGCCCACAAGCACAAAATAGCGTTCTAATCACAATGTGGCTTCCCCAAGAGAACTGTCTATAAACAGAGAATGTGTGGGTAATACTAATACCAGCAATTTTAGAAGGCATGACAAGGATAGTTCTCCTAGTACATTAATACCCTGCTCTTTTGGCTTATATATCAGTCTCTTATTGATTTTTAGAGAGAGAGGAAGGGAGAGAGAGAGATAGAAACATCGATGAGAGAGAAACATCATTGATCGGCTGCCTACTGCATGCCGCTCATCGTGGATCAGGCCCACAACCAGGGCACGTGCCCTGACTGGGAATCGATCTGGTAGCCTCTTCGCTCATGGGTAGAAGCTGGGCTCTCTGAGTCTCTGTAGTGTGAATCATCGTCCCCATATCTAGGGACATCAGCTACGGGATTAATGTTCTAACCTTGTGAGGCTAGAACCAGACTTCTGATTATTGTGACTTCACTGTGACAATGCTCCCTAGGGATCACAGCCTACCAGCATATGGATATGATCACATTTAAATTTCCAACGACCTTTTGAACTATAGCCTAGGTTCTTTATGCTTACAAAGCACTTTGATACATACCTATACTTAAGTGTTTTTAACGTGTAAAATTAAAGCTAAATAGTATTGATCAGTGGCTAACTAGATGCCTAGAACTTATGTAACTGCCTCTTGTGGATGATAATAATGGCGAAACTTTATCTATCACTTCCTTTGTGTCCAGCACGGTGCCTAATGCTTTTCTTTCAGCATAACTCTTTCAACTCTCAGGGTAAACCTATAAGGTAAGTACAATGACTATCTCCATTTTCCAAGTGAGGAAACTGAGGCTTAGAGAATTTAGGTGATTTGTCCAAGCAACTGAGAAGCAGGAAAACTGGAACTTACATACATGGCCCCCGACTTAAAGTAGAACACCCTAGCAGAGTTCTGCTCACAGCAATGACAGACGAATTCTCCCAAGCCAGTAGACAACTAGAAAAGCTGTACACAATATTTTTAATAATCTACTCGAAAACAGCAAAAGGCTCCCGAGGTGATGATAACCTATGGGCCGAGAACTGGGAGAGGAGAGAGGCCAAGAGAGATGGTATCTGGCATCTCTTTACACCTTGAAGCAAGCGCCAAGTTCAAACTGATAACTGAATGGTGAACAAAGCTAAGCAGTTTCAGATCTGGGCTTTCCAAAGAGAAAGTGCCCTGGTAGACACTCAGGTTTTTAAATACAGGCCTGCAGCACTCTCCCTTAGAGGCAGAGGTGAATCTGAAATAAACCAGCCACCTAAGGATTGATGCTCATTGGATTCTAATTGGACTAAGATTATCTGCTTCTTCTCCAGCAACCAAGAGTAAATCTTCTCAGGGGCAAGATGACATCATCTAGAGAGGCTCAAAACATTTCCAGAATTTTTTATATAAAATGTCTGACAATTAACAAAGGAATAGAAAACCCCCAAATATTGAGAAATTATACACTCTACTTCTGAATAACATCCTATATGATAAAAGCCTAATAAGCAAATTGTCCCATTGACTGGGAGTTCCACTGGAGTTCAATCTGGAGTTCGACCAGTGGGCGGGGCTGGCCGGCCAACAGCCCGCAGCCCCTTTCCCTGGCCGGCCAGGCCCCATCGGTCCCAATCGGGGCAGGCCGGCCAGAACCCACCCATGCACAAATTCATGCACCGGGCCTCTAGGAGGTTTTATAAAGAAATCATAATGATAATTAGAAAGTACAGAGCACCAATAGAAAATGACATCCAAATTTAGGATTTAGTTACAGATATGTTTGCAATTGTAGTTCTAAATACACATGTCAGAAAAGGAAGTCTAAAAGTCAACCACCTGAACCCATCTTCAGGTCTTAGGAAAAAAAGCAGCAACAAACCCAAAAATTTTAAAGAAAGGGCAAATGTTATTGATACAGAAGACAATCATAGAATAGAGAGGCTACACAAAAAGTGCTGTTTTTTGGAAAAGATTATTAAAATTGACAAACATGCCCGGTTGGTGTGGCTCAGTGGTTGAGCATCAACCATGAACCAAGAGGTCACTGGTTCAATTCCTAGTCAGGGTACATGCCAGGGTTGTGGACTTGATCCCAAGTAGGGGGCATGCAGGGGAAAACTGACAAATGATTTTCTCTCAATATATGTCTATCCTTTTCCCTTCCTCTCTCTCTAAAAATCAACAAAAACATATTTAAAAAACCGACAAACATTTAGGGCAAGAAAAAAAAGGCACAAATAATCAGTGTCAGGAATAAAAAGGGAATACTACCACCGATTCTATAAAACTTAATAACATCATCTGGCGACATTGTTGATAACTTCATGCAAAGAAATTTGAAAACTTAGATAAATATACAAACTCCCATAAGAATCAAGAACATATAAAAATATGAATAGTTCTATTTCAATAAAGGGATTTAAAAATATTCCCACAGAAAAAAAATCTCCTCATAACATCTAGTAAACACGTAAGAAAATATTTCCCATAATAGAAAAACAGGCAATTCTTCTCAGCTCAGTATGATACCATTGTAACATAGATATTAAAACCCAACAAGAATATTATTAAAAAATACATGCCAATATTTCTCATGAAAAAATATTTTCAGTCCTAAACAATTATTAGTCAACTGAATAAAAAATATATGAAAAAAGTTAATAGATCACAACTAACTTGGGTTTATTTTAGAAATGGTCTAATATTTAACAATAGTCATTATAATGAACACATTGAAAGAATAAAGGATAAAACCATACACTCATCTCACCAGATATTAAATGCATTTGATGAAGTTCAACCATTCATTATTATTTTTTTTAAATGTAAACAAAAAGAAAATAACTCTCAAAACAGAAAAATCCTTAGTCAGATGTAGGATATCTACAAAAAGACCTAGAGCAAACAACCACACTATTAATGCAATGCGAACCATGTTCCTTCTGAAAATGGACATTCCCAATAAATCCACTACCATGTCAATTCAAAGAAATAGGTGTGTGTATACATGTGAAAATAAATATGTATATATGTATATATAGGTGCACACACAAGTATGTGTAAGCAAAAAATACATGTACCAGAATGCAAGGATATTCACAAAACATTATTTTAAACAGCTAAATGGAAGTCCATCAGCAGTAGAGTCAATCAATAAATTATGGTTTAGCCATCCTGTGGAGTACTATACCCCAATGAAAATTAACTATGGTTCCATACAAAATATGGGTGACTATAAACTGTTGAGGGAAAGAAGCAAAATACATAGAATAAAAACTGTGTAACATTAACTTTTATTCAAAAAGAAGCAAAAATAACCCCATAGTATTCCTGTCCATCCTTACTTGTCAGCACTGGAACCACAAGACCCTAGAGTACATGTGGTCAGTCACCCAGAAACACACACATTGTCTGCATACCTGTGCCTATGCCCATTGCTTTTCACTTCTCTAATGACACTGAATGTGTCGGTCACTTCTCCATCTGTGAAGACAAAAAGCTGAACACAGAAGACATTGGTCAAGTCTCTATGAAGTTCACGTTTTCTTTTTTTAAGTTCATTTTTAAAATACCGCAATTTGCCCTTGAAAAACTCGACTATTTCATGCCGGAGACACTGATGCCTCTTCGGACACGTGTGAAATCCCTAGTGGGCCACTGTCACTTGCATCAGGTTTTCACATGGTTTGGGGCATTTTCCTCACCCTCCCAGTCTCACCTCAGGCCTCTGTGGCATTCCACAAGAGAGCTTCCACCTCCACAGTTCAGAGCATGGAGCTAAGGAAGAGGGTTTCTATGAAATCCCTTTTGTGTTTTCCCCTTTACTACGCATACCATATTGGGACAATCCTGCAATGAAACTCAGGGCTATACATTCTGGAACCGAAGTTGAGTTCTCTCTCCCCACTTTCTGTGAGCTTTGCTCCAATTCTTACCTGGAGAGGGTGGCCTGGGATGGAAGTTCTACTGTAAATGGCCTTGAGTGGTGCCAAGATTTCTGTGCCCCCGAGGTCAGCGTCCATACTCTTAACTCTCTTCAGCGCCTGCTCCATGGTATCCTGAGTGTACTTCACGCTCTCCCTGAGTAAAGCAAACACATGCAGGGACATAGCTAGCTGACACTGCCCAGTATCGCATCCCCGCATTGAGATTCGCCCCACTGTAAACCACTTCACCCGAACTCCCCAATGCCAAGGTCAACGCTACCATAACCTCTTTAACAATATAGTCCTTTCTTTAGAGGATCTTTTTTTTGAATTCTCTGTAGCCTTTCTAGAAACTTACGGAAAGAAGGACTCAAAGAACGTTCCAAATCCAAAGATGTTGAAATAACAGCCTATAGGCAAACTCTTCAGCAGCCAAATCAGTGTTTCCTGCAGGAAGAGTGTATGGGGAGCGAGTGAGAGAGGATCCTTGAAGACACACAGACCCTCCCCATCTAACTCCTGCGGGTGTGGGCCTTCACCCAGAGCATGCCACCCAGTCTTATAGTCCTCGGAGTGGTCACATGAGCTGCAGTGCAGCTGGAAACACTGATCCAGATGACCCAGATGGACTCTAATTTCACCCCTGAGACTCATCCTTACTTGAGCACATAAGCAGAAAAAGAACTAGTCTTACCTTGGCCGCCTCTATGCGCATCTGAGATGGATCCTGATTATTCATATGACAATGCATACTTTCTGAACGGTCCATGAGGAAGACGAATTCTCCACATGCAGTTGGTGACTGAGCCTCTGGGATATTCGGGTAGAAACTCACCATTGCAGATGGATCTCCCATCAAAGAATCTACTCAGAAAGAATAAGGACACCATGAGATGAAAAGGAACTAAAAACATACATAGGGAAGACACCATGAATCAGTTGTAGTGAATCAATAGGAAGCTGAGAACATCCACATCTGAAACACAGTTTGATCTTTATACTCTATCTGCATGCAAAGGGCTTGAAGTGAGCTATAAACCTACAAGAGCTATAGAAGCAAAGCAGATAATAAGGAGATGAAAGAGGGTAGAGGTTACCAGGAACAAGCAATAAGTAAGATGCGATCATTGACCCTAGTATCCTAGCAGCTAGGCCAACTAGTGAAATACGTTAAGTTACACTGTTCCAGCATTTACCAGAAGAATCGACATAACTTACTTGGCAGAGTCGCATTAACTTCAAATCAAATCAATGGGAAATTTATCACATGGGTCCTTGTTTAAGTCTGTCATCACCGCTTTACAAAAACGATGCTCATGTGGGCAATTCTTTCATTGACAAGTTACAAGAGCTGAGAGTGTCAGTGTCACACACACCAGGGAAAGTCTGTCGGCTGTGGGCACGAAGCTCTTACCTATGCTCTCCCGAACAAGGAGAGGCACTAGGACAGGGGTGGGCAAACTTTTTGACTTGAGGGCCACAATGGGTTCTTAAACTGGACCGGAGGGCCGGAACAAAAGCATGGATGGAGTGTTTGTGTGAACTAATATAAATTCAAAGTAAACATCATTACATAAAAGGGTGCGGTCTTTTTTTTTTTTAGTTTTATTCATTTCAAACGGGCCGGATCCGCCCACGGGCCGTAGTTTGCCCACGGCTGCACTAGGATGTTGTGTTGAGAACAGTATCACCCACACAATAGTATGGAGGCGACCAAGGAGTTGGCCTATGTCACCAAGTTGTCAAAGCCATAGCCAAGATTTTATCTTTTCGGGGGCAAGTGAAAACTGAAGCTGGAATTAAAATACTAGTAGTAAGATAGAGATGTAGTGAGAATGGCTGGTTTATATCCACTCTAACAGTTCAGACACTATAAGGAGACACAGAATCTAATTCCAATATCCTACCTCTATTACAGTCCTTCTGGGATTAGAGCTTTAAATTCTCAGAATGCCAGCTGGCATTCTCTTCTGTGTATAGATGTGAACAGCAAGCCACCTTGACCAAACGTACGATCTGGGAGCAAGATTTGAGCAGCCCTGCTGGAGGGATTTACAAGACTCATTAAGGCTGCCCCTGCTGCCCCCTGGGTCTGCACAGCTGGGCATAGGGAACAGACGAGGAAATCTGCAAAGGGGCCGACAGAACTTCTTGGAACCTCAACCTTTACCTTGTAAGATGCAACATTTCAAAACTTCCTCTGGTGGATTAAAAGAACCCTGACTAAAAATCAGGTCACTGTTGTGGGAGTACTCCTTGGGCACACAAGGGGGAGTTCGCCCAAAGGGAAGGACAAAATCAGACAACTAATGTACAAAGACAGAGCTTGGAGCTTCAGGGAACAGGAGCTGGAGCAAACCTGGCTGAGGCTGGGACCCCCTCTAACAGGTTTAGTGTGGACGGTCTGCCCTGAGCAGGGGGGCGGTTGGGAGAGGGATAAGGGGGGCAGGAATGGTTAAACGAGTGAAGGCAAATTAAAGAGTTCCAGTTTGTGAGCTGGAGTGTGAAGTTACCTTGGCCAAACGTCAACAATGAGATAAGAAAAATGGCCGATTGAAGATCAACGATAGCTACTTATCTTTAAAGCAGTGGTAGTTATGGAAGTAAGAGCCTAAACCAAGACATTGTGTTTTGACTATGATTGTCCCCAAGGATGCGTCATTCCACCAAAGTGGGAAATGCTTCAGAAGTGTCAATATCTTTCCAGTGATGCTTCATGATCTCTGTAGTCCAGGGCCATGGCAGCTCAGGGAGGCCCCAAGACAGTGGTCCCTGACATGTGTTACACCAGTACAGTTAAAAGAAGTACACAGCCCAGCCCGTGTGGCCTGGTGTTTGAGCAGCGACCCAGGAGGTCATGGTTCGATTCCTAGTCAGGGCACATGCCTGGGTTGTAGACTCAATCTCCAGTAGGAGGTGTGTAGGAGGCAGCAGATTGATGATTATTTTTATCATTAACGTTTCTCTCTCTCTCTCTCTCCCTCTCCCTTCCCCTCACTGAAATCAATAAAAACAAACAAAACAAAAAAAAAATAAGAGGAAAAGTAGATATATACTAAGGAAAATTTGGAAAATAAGATAAATTAAAGAAATTTAAAAACTAAACTTAGGCTTAGAAATTAAGAAACTAGATTAAGAGTTACAAAAACTCTAAAGATGGGTAATGGTGATATTTACAACAGAGTGAATGTACTTAAGGCAAGAGAGCTATATCGTTAAAAATAATTAAAATGGTAAAATTTCCATTGTGTAAATTTTATACCAAAGTATTAGTTTTCTTTTTACTTAAAATTTATGTCAGAGAGATCAACCGAAGGACTTGTATGCATGCATATAAGCATAACTAATGGACATAAGACACTGGGGGGTAAGGGAGGGCAGGGGATTGTCAAGGGCGGGGGGTGGGGGAAGGACACATATGTAATACCCTTTGTAATACTTAAAAAGAAAAAAAAAATAAAGTCCCAACAATTTAAATGAAAAAAAAAATTTATGTCAGATAAATTTTACCACAATTAAAAAAATAACAAAGAAAGAGCTCAAGGTGAGATTACATGAAGGAATGATAAATCAATCAATAAAAGTTATTTATTAGACCAAAAAATTTAGAAAGTCTTAATCTACTCATAATTACTAGATGTATATTTCCTGTGGGTTTTAAATGTTTTTCTTAGTTGCCAGGTTATTTTTTATAGTAATCTGTTTGTATAACTTACTTTTACTCAATCCTCTTTGGAAGCCTTTTTTCCATATTATTTCAATCTATCAACATATATTATTTTAGTAGTTGCATAATAACTCGTCAAGTAATCCCAGCATAGTGAATTTAGCTATTGTGAGACATTTTGATTATTTACTAATCTTTGATATTATGAAAGTGGCCACTTCAGTGTATATGTTTACTTACATTTAAATTTATTTCCTTAGGTAAGATTCCAAAAATTGGAATCACTAAAATGAACATTTCTTTTGGCACATATCGCCAAATCTCTTCTCCAAAGTTTGATTCCAAATTATTTTTGCTTAAAGCAATCTTTGAGAGTGCCAAATTCACCTCACCTTTTAAAGTATGAGGTGTTCCCAATTTGGAAATCTTTGATCATTTGAAAAGTGAAAAAATCACATCATTTACTTCTACATATACTTATAGAGGCTGATCATTGTCCCATATTTTTAAACTAGCTGCATTTCCCTTGTAAACTTTTTCATGTCCTTTGTCTAAGTACCTACTAATTCACCTAAATTTACATATAAGACATAGTCACATGATATTCAATATGGAATCATTTTTGCATGCCATAGTGTAAACTAGTCCCATTTTTTGTTAAACCCATTACTGAATAGAAAAAAAAAGTGAGGGTAATTTGAGGGTTATTCAACGACAAGAGTTTCCCCTTAGGCAGTAACTACAAAAAGAGAGGGAACATACCGGGCTCTGTTGCGGGCGCCCCCATCTCCACAGCCACGCTGGGGGTATGCACCTCACTGTAGTAAACCAGGAGCTCCACATCTCGATCAAATTTGTGTCCGTCAGCCAAGGAGATCTGAGTTGGGAGCAAGCAAAGAAGCCATGTAAGAACCATGGTGCCTCTGCCTGGGGCTGATGTCAGAGCTGAGGGCTACTGGCTCCTTTCCCGTGGAAACAGAGCCTGGAATAAGGGCGAGAACAGGCAGGAGGCTCTGGAGATGAAATAAGGATAAAGAAGGGGCCCAGCCCTAGCCAGTTTGGCTCAGTGGATAGAGCGTTGGCCTGGGGACTGAAAGGTCCTGGGTTCGATTCCCAGTCAGGGTACATGCCTGGGTTGTGGGCTCGATCTCCAATAGGGGGCGTGCAGGAGGCAGCTGATCAATGATTCTCTCTCATCATTGATGTTTCTATCTCTCTCTTCCTCTCCTCTCCGAAATCGATAAAAATATATTTTAAAAAGGGGGGGGGGGCCATTGCAATTTTCCTGGGGTTAATATGGGGAAAGTTAGCAATATTTAGGAGATGGAGGGAGGAAGAAGATCGGGACCCAAAAACAGGGGTGCTGGCAACCACAGCGCGCTCACTAATTACCTGAGCAGAAGTCTTATCGTCAAGGTACTCAATAGGATTCACGGGGGAGCTGCACTGGACACTCTTGATGGCATGCTGGGAGCTGACGGTGGCAGCCAGGCTGAGTGTGTAGGGCACGTCCTTCGAAGGGACTGCAGGAGTCTTCATTTGAAGGCCACCGCCCTCAGACCCTCCTATGGAAAGTGAGCTCAGTGGTGTGTCCCCTCCCCACAATGTTTAGCCCCCCGACAACCCTGAGAGGGGTTTTCCCCGTGAGTATTTGAAGAAAGAGTCTACTCACTGGAGAGTTGGTAGCGAGGGTTCAGGATAGCGGGGAGCACATAGCGCAGGGCCCCGTCTGCCTCCAGAGGCAGCTCCTGCACGTACTTCAGGGTGAGTGCCGCCTTCGACCCGGGGGGCAGGTTCCCCACGTTACAAGAGAAGATGTCGCCAGCCTGATCGTCCTCCTCCAACAAGAAGGCTTGGTGGCCCTGGCTGATGGCATTCTCGTAATTGGTGCGGGCCTAAGGAGGACAAGGGAAGACGGGTGACATGACATGAGAGGTGACATGCTTGAGGAGGAGAGAAGTGGCACAGGAAGCAAAGACTGGTGGGGTGAGCCTGTGATGGGTCTTGCCAAGTTCACAGCCAAACCCTGAGTGCCTTCGATGGGTGTTTCCCTCCAATGGTTTTAGGAAAGTTATCGGTTAGAGGGGAGTAGAGCACAAAGCATTCGACATCAACATTTCTGGGAAGTTGCATTTGATAGAGACCCTAAACAGCATGCATTATGGGCATAAAAAGGGAGGAAGGAATACAGTCATCCCTAGTACCTCTGACTTCTCCTGCAATTCCGCCACAATTTTCTTCCCATCCACCATGGCCTCGAAGCTGTGGACAGCTGAGTCTTCGTCCATGGGGAAAACAAAGAAGGCCTCCAACGGATCTTTGCCCTCATTCTCATAGTTCAAGGTAGCAGACACACCGGCCACAAACTCTCGAATGGTCAAGGTCACCGAGATGCTCTTCAGTGGCACTAGAGATAGACCAGAGTTCAAGAGGTCACCAACCTTCACAGAATGCCTCCCGCCGTGCGAGGTGCCACAGGTCCAATGGCAAATCAGAGTCACATGTCAGGCTTACCTGGCTCCTTTTGGTGGGTTAGCAGGCCGCAGGGAGGGGACACCATGGTGACACAGGGTTACTGTGGAAAAGACACATCAGGAACAGAGCACCATGGTGGGGATTACCTATCCAAACACCAATACCGATGGGCTTCTCTCTGGCATCAACATCTATTCAGAGGGTTAATGAGGACCCAGGAAGGAGGAAAAAGTGGAACAGAAGGGGATAAAGGTGTCAATAGCAAGGCTCCTTCTAAATGCCAGACCCTGGTGGAAAGCTAGACAGGAAACCTCACCGAAGGCTGGTTCAAGTGCCAGGTCCACTTTTTTCGGAATTGTTTTTATTATACCACTTTTTAGGTATATTCAGTGAATGTAATGAACCCCTCTGAACCTCAGTATTTCTAAAATGAAAATCATATGTCTATGCACAGATGAATGAAGATAGATGAAGTCCTAGGAATGGGGCCTGGCCCATATGATGAGAGACATGAGTGCTGTTCTTGTCGCTGTTGTTAAATAGACCCGGGCTGTTACTCTTGTAGGTGGCTGTTAGACAGACATGAGCAGAGCTAGGACAATGGGCCAGGTGCAGAAGGTCACCAGGGCGGAAGGCCCCAGTCCTAGCCATGGACATGTGTCGGGTAGGACCTCGTCCCCGGGCTGACCTTTCCTCCCCTCGCATACCCTGGTCATTGGGGTTTAGACCCCTGACCTTTCCTCCCCGGAGAGAACATCTAGGCTTCAGGTGTATTTCATTCAGCTCCAGGCCCAGAAAAGCAGCCAAACCCGGCAAGCAGCACCATGGCTGACCTCGGGACCAGCTGCACTGAATGATAACCCCCCTGCCCTGACACTGATCAATCCATCAGTGGAGACCACAACCCTGAAAGGACACACCTGGAAAGCTGCGGGATAGTCTATTCAGATCCGCCCCTGGGATCGCCCCTAAAACCCTTATGACTGAGGACCCAGCAGACGCTCCCTCCAGGGAGCCAGCCCCTGCCTTTCCCTTCCTCTTCCGTTCCCCATCCCTCCAGACGCATCACCTTGACCTTCCTCCCTTCAAAGCCCCGAGGGCCTCTCCTTTGCCTCCATCCCTTGTTTCCTAAGCCCGTTTCTCCTGGGAACTACCGCTACCTCTGTGCTTTCCCATATAAATGTTATCTTACAGGTTGAGTCTCGGCCCTGCACGTAAGACGTTGCCTGATCCAAAATGGACTTCTGCAACTTAGATCTCATACCTTGTGGCTTTTCTTTTGGGGCTCGTTACTGAAACCAGTTTGTTCTCTCTGTCCAGGCGATTACTATATCATATATCCAACATGCCCTCTATTTTAAATCAAAACATGTCTTCCAAATTTCATTATAATCTCAGGCAGCCATTTCATGTGATATGCCAAAAAAGTTATGTCCATGGGTTATAATTTATGTTACACTTTTATTTTTTAAAAAGTAATGTTTTTATTGATTTCAGTGAAGAAGGGAGAGGGAGATAGAAACATCAATGATGAGACAGAATCACTGATCAGTTGCCTCCTGCACGCCCCCTACTGGGAATTGAGCCTCTCCCTCTCCCTCTCCCTTCCTCTCTGAAGTCAATAAAAGTATATTAAAAAAATACAGATGAAAACAAACACCACACCCTACTCCAAGCCAGAGCAATGGCCCTGTTGCTCACCCAGCTGATTGCAATGGTTTCTGATACACCAGGCCCCCATACCTACAAATCAGCGCCAATACGGCAGGCTTGTTGTTTTGTGTCTGTTTTTATTTTCAGGGATTGGGTAAAAACAGATGGTGGCAAAAAGGCTCACACTGGCTAAACCACAGAGGCGGTCCAGGCTGAGGGGAGAGGAAAACAGGCTCAGCGAGAGGGTTTCCATGCACACATCTGATGGGGCCCTTTCTCGGGTCCCACAGGCTGGGGCTGGGCTAGGAAAGAGTTTCCAGTAACCCCAGCAGGGAGCTTACCGCCTGAGAAGGACAAGGATACAGGGGCACAACAGCTGGAGAAAGCAGAGGGTGACCCAATCTGTAAGGGTGGGCAGTACTCACCAAGGACGGCTTTCTGGTGAAGAGACAGAGGGAGCAGTGGCTGAGTGTCTTCTGCAAAGAAACAGGCTTGTCTCCAGACTCTAACCCCAGAACAAATCCCTCCCAGGGGAGGTTTGCTCTTCTGCAGCCTCACCCCCACCCTTCCCAGGACAACCTATGCTGAGTCAGAACTCCTTCCCCCTCCCTCCCCAGGGCACTTGAGAATTGTAGCCAGCAACAGGGAGCAGGCTGTCCGCAGCAGCTGATGGGGCTCCAAGTTGAATCCGAGGCTGGGAGAAGGGAGGGAAGGGTCAGTGCCTCAGGTGCCGGGAATCCAGGGGCTGCCCTGGGCGAGGGGGGCACTTGTGGCGCAGGGACCACATAAGGGCCAGTGGAGAACCCCGGGTGGGCCACAGGCCATGGGGGTGCAGAGCAAGGCTGGGATAGAGACCTGGAGTGGCCCTGCCGGTTTGGCTAAGTGAATAGAGCATCAGCCTGCAGACTAAAGGGTTTGGGTCCCGTTCCCGGTCAGGGTTCAGGCAGGGTTGTGGACTCCATCCGCAGGAGGGGACATGCACGAGGAAGCTGATCAATGATTCTCATCATTGATGTTTCTCTTTCTCCCTTCCTCCCTCCCTCCCTCTCTCCCTCCCTTTCCCTTTCTCTGTGAAATCAATAAAAAATATATATTTAAAAGAAAAAGAAACCAGGAGTGATTTAAATTTTAAATTTTCCGTCCCAGAGTTTTGGCATCCAGGGAGTCACAGAAGGTATCTGAACTTGCCCCTTGAATTTCTATATAGAAGGGTTTACGGGCTGCAGTATGATTTGGATGGGGTGGCGGGGGGAGGTTTGAAGCTCCATTTCACCACATAAATTTACATCCAATGGAGGAGCTATGAATTGTCCACATGAAGGGGAGGGG